TCTTCGTATCCCGCTGAATGTTAAGGGGCAACTGATCGCTGCTCCGTTGTTACTAGACCAGCCTTGTGCTGTCACAGAAAATCTTTATGTGTCCTGAAGCGAGCTTTAGTGTTTTCTCACCTAAGCCTCGTATCTTGTGGTTCAGAGCAACTACAAATTTAATCCATAATTATAGGCCTTATCACTGAGATCCAATGCTGTAGAAGATGTGTCTCCAAATACTGTAACAGCTATGGCGAGAAACTTATTTTCCAGGCACTGCAAATAGCGTAATTATCATCCTAAAGCACAGCTGGGAATATGGATCAGAAGATGACAAGATCAGCAACCCTCAAGACAGGAGAAATTCACAAGTTGGAGCTGTAAGGGTTTGGTGGTTCTGAGCACCAGTGGTGGCCCCACGGTGCAATTCCAAGCTGGCAGCCTCAGCTTCTGCTTGCTGGAATTGCCCGTCTCGCCTCTCCTTGGCCAGTTCAGGCACTTTGGTTGAAATGAGGCCACCGGGCTCTGTCTTGAAGAAGCATAATTAAAAATGTGTCCCCTTCTCAATCTCAGTCAACCCACTGACGGCCGTGTGATTCCTGCCACACCCGAAAAATACTGACATCCCCAGAGCTCTTACCAGCTTTGCCAGAAAAATAGCATAGCCCAACTTGTTCCTGTGAAGAGACCAGCAGCATCCATGTAAGACCCTGGCTGAAAGCATTAATCCTCTCTTTCATTATTTGCTTTATTAATGGTGATTTATTTAGATGTTGGATTTAATTCTCTAAGAAGGAAGAGGATCTTTTTTTTTCCTCGGTACTTTTTTGAATGGTGCATCTACAACCAGATTGCCAAACAATTCGTCGGCACCTGCCAGGCCAAGTAAGGAAAGTCGTGGTGCCAGTGCAGAGGGGAACGCTGGGGTTGGCTCACAGGAGGAAGCTGCTACTCTTCAGCTGACGGGGAGGCATGGGAAATTGCCTTCGTACAGACAAGCTCCAGGGCCTTGATACTGGTCACTGGCTGGGGAAGTGGCACCCGCCGTGCCGTTGCAAGACCAGGAAGGCAGCTCACCAGGCAGGACAGCAGCTGACTCCAGTGCTGAAGTCCAGTGCAACCTGAACTCTGCTCAACTTGGCTCACTACTTGCCCGTTGGAACGGAGCACAGGGCTCGCCCCTGCCAGTGGCAGAAAGGTACAGCTGCTTCCCCCTACAGCTACCTCCACTGGGCTTTCTGAAGTGCGCCCTACTGCTAGTCTAAGCAGGGGCTTCTAAACAAATCTCTTGCCCCACGCACGATTGACCCCACGCAGCAGAAAGGGGCAAAGCTGCTGCGGCATCCATTCCCACATCCCGGGCTCACAGCCACTTTTGAGGGGTCATGGGTAGAAAAACAATAATGAACTCTGCCTCTTTCAGGAAAGTATGTGCAGCTATGCGAAATATTTGTAATACTGACAGGACAGGAAGTCAGCTTCCACACCAGACCTGTAATTGTCCAGGCTGCCCGATTGCTAGCTTGCTCCCTGGCTCTGTTTTGCAATTGCTTTTAATTAATCCTCTTCATGACAGTGACCAGGGGTAGTACTTCAATGACAGTTCACTCCAAAGACAGCTCCCAAGACAGCAGTATGGATTTGGGGAACCCTTCGCTCGAGATAGGACTCCAATAAGAATAAAAAAATTTCTCCAGGAGGGTGATTAGGCACTGGAACACATCGCCCACAAAGGCCCCTGAAATCTCTTTCCGTGGAGGTGCTCGCAGCTTGCCTGAGCAAGACCGTCAGCACTGACCCAGCTTTGAAGTTAGACCTGCTGTGAACAGACGGTTGGGCTAGCTGACCTCTACCAGTCCCTTCCAAACAACACTTATCCACGATTCATTGGGCTGTGAACCCTCAAGTACCCTCAGGTGCTCTCAGCGCTATGTCGTGGGCTCCGAGACGCACACAGTCACGTTCACAAAACACAAACCGCTGCCTTGGTGAACTGTAGCATCGCCCTCACCATCAGGAACTGGGAAATGGACAAACCCGTCCCGTGTTAGGGCCACAGGGCTGCCACAGAGTCCAGAGGAGCCCCGTGGTGCAAGCGAGGCCACTGTGTTGTAGGTGGATGTGACCCCAAGCAACGCGGCTGTGAGCCAGGCCTTGCCGTTCAGCCTCAGCGTTAGGGACCCTTCCCGACTCCTGGAGCAGTCAGGCTGTGCATACGTGGGCTGACGGAAGAGAAGTACAGTCAGCGTAACGTGACAAACCTAGAACAAGAAGTGAATTACAATTTAAAGGAAGCATTGCTGAGTATGGCCTGCTGAATCCATGGCACAGCCCAAAATCCCAACAGGGCTACCACGCTAGTTACATAAAAGTTTTCTGGGGACATTTTAAGCTTTTCTGGTCTTGAGCACGGTCGGGACTGCATTCAGTTACTGAACTGTTATGGCATTCAATAGCTATTCAGGATAAAAGAGTCAAAAAATACCCTACCTAGCACTAAACTGGAAGTTTGGGGTGACAGTTTCATTACAGGCAAAGAAGGAGAGAAAAAATGGATAGGAAGGTGTATGTTTTAAACTCAGACAAGGTACTTTCTTTAGGAAAACCTAGCAACTGTGCCAATTCAGAAAATATCTGGAAGAATCAAGCTGTTCTTTATGAAACAGACTGCGGTTTCTTTCATGAACCCAAGAACTAACTACAGTGGGGTATTTAGGAAAAGCATACATCTCTTTTACATCAGGATAGTAAGGCAGTATTTACATATACAGATATATATAATACACAGGTAAAAGCACAGGGAACCAAGAGCCTAGTTGCTTTCCCACCCGTCTCAAGCACTCATTTAAGAGAGGTGATACAGGGTTTAATACCATAGCCTTTATTGGTGACACTGGAAATCAGACCTTTTAAAGCAACTAATTTTTTATAAACAGGAACGAAAATAATTTTTACTTCCTATGATGTAATTACACAAAATCTGCTTAAGTCACTAATATAAAAAAAAAATTAAAAAAAGAAAAAAAAAGTTTGCATACTTCGTCATTTAGTACCATCAAGAAGTCCTAAGTAACTGCATTTTCTATAAGAAAGAGAAAAATAAAAGAGATTTGCATGGACAAAAGTCAACAGTATAGAAGAATTCAGTGGATGTTACAAGGAATTCTGTTTGTGAGCTCAGTTCTTGAGGATGGCTGAAGTAGATCCTAGCAGGATCAAACCTTGTATATTTACACTCATGGGTGTAAAAGTAATATTGCCAGTTAATTGAAATACGCATTTTCAGTATTGTCCTGAAAATTAATGAAGTCCAGAGGCTAAATTCTAAGCTCAGGTGTTCACATTGGAAATAAAATACTTCCAGCATCCTGTATAATTAAGGCAAAGTATGGTATCTTTTGAAAATACCTTGTATATAGTTTCTGCATAAAAATATGAAAAAAAATAAAACTATATATATATATTTAATGGAACACTGTTATGCATGGTCCAGCAGAATAAGGCACAAAAAGTAAATAGAATGCAAAAGCATATATAAAAGTTAATGTATTATTTTGAGTGGAATATAGCAAAATTCAAGTAGTTCTGAGTATGCTCATTTCTTGCAATAGGAATATATATTTTATATAGGTATTTCATGCTAAGCCTGATGTACAAAGATTCATCATGTAAGCACAATCTATCAGAAGCAGGTCATTTGTACAGTGACTCTATTTAGAAATTTTGTTAAACCCACTGAAACAAAGTTCCTTAATGGGATGGCTTGGCCTGAAATCCACGCGTGAATTTTTCCACGGGGCTAAGTATGTTGGTTTCTTGCCCAGGTCACTTGGGCTACTTTTGTGTGCATGCTTAGTGTGAAGGTTAATACTTTCCCTAACACAAATGACCATACATGCCTCTAAAGGTGGACGCATTTGCACAGTTTGTTTTTGCAGGTATTCACAAGCAAATTTTCTCTCTCAAATTCTGCAGAGGTTACGGTGCAGAACGGGCCACCTGCATCAGTGCAACTGCATTATCAGGGTCAGGAACCCTTCAGGTGAGCTGGTATTTCATTTAGTTTGGAACTACGGTCTGTTTATCAACAAATAAGCATACGTGTATAGAGAGTCTGACAATACGTCGGTTTGACAGAAGGCATACATCATCACTTGCTGCCTGACTGCGGCCTCAAAGCACCACCCCCCCGCCCAGCGATATAGGTAGGATTTTCACAAAGGAAGGGGAGAGCGGATGAAGTCTTTACTTCCTTCCCAAAGTCTCGGCTAGTTTCTTCAGTCTTTTCTTCAGCTCCAGAGGAAACTTCTCGTAACACTTTTTGCAAACAGGCTTCATATCAAACTCAACAAATTTATTCCTGAAATGACAAAGTAAAAACCAGACAAAGTTTTAGCAGCAGGGACAGTGAAAAAAAAAAAAATCTTTTAAAAGTATCCTATTAAATGTGCACAAGGAAAAAATTACAACTGCAATTTAGACATATATAGGAAGTTACTTTTACAAGGTTACACACTGCAGACAGTAACTACACTACCCTGTTGAGTAAATTACACCGTTTTTACCCAAACGTCCGTATTTATTAACCGTGCCATTTGAAAAGCCTTTCACACCTAATCGTAGAGCTAAACAGACTAAACATAAGATAATGGAATGACAAGTTACTATTTCAAGTTGCAGTTGTGTGAGAAATATTTTGGTTTTGATTCCCATCAATTCATGCAAAAACTTAATGTAAAAGCACCCTTAGCACTGACCAAAGAAGAAAGGAGCAGAGGTGGTGGTGAGAAGGAAAAAGAGTTTACAAACAGATTGGCTTTTTCTTTTTCTGCTTCTCCTTATCCTTTGCTTCACGTTCCCGTTTGGCAAGTCGTCGCTTAAATTCATCTGGCATTTTCTCGTAACAGTGTTTGCAGACAGGTTTTAGATCAATTTCAACAAACTTATCCCTTTAGAGTTAAACACAGACAAAATAAAGGACAGAAAAGGAGAAGAGTTAAGAAGATTAACTGAAGGAAGACCTGAACAGACAGCTGGAAGAGATGTAAATCAGTAAGAGGAGCAAGAGGAAGAAAAATGCACGTATTTTCTCAATGCTGCTTATATGTTTTTCATACCATAACAGTTACACTACAGCAACATCTACACTTTGCAGATAACCACCGGTATGTTTTGAAGGCGTCACACTTATCGATTAACTTACTTGAGTGTTAACTTAGTGTTGCAAGTTGAACAAGCGAAACAGTTCACACACCATGCCTTGTTCAGAGCAGACACAACTAGGGCAATGGGGAAAAAAAAAAAAAAGAAATCATTAGCATTACTAAAAAAAAACCCTTACTCATTATAAAATTTTTAAGCTCGCACATTCATGAGGCATGAAGAACAGCCATTCGGTTCTAGTATCCGGTATCGAGGACCACAGCAGTAACATGGGACTGTGAAGCGTTGATAAAGGTGTCTCTGAGGCAAGACCAGTTCAACCTATTTCTGCCTCCTGTTTCTTGCTTCCACCTCATCTCCTATCATGCTGACCTCAGGCAAGTGCTCTGTGAGGCTGTGTTTCCAACTTCATCAGGAAACTTTTTCAGCTCAGGAGCAGCAAAATTGTGTTTATGTTTTTGTTCGGGTTCATTTCTCAGCTCCAGTTCAGACTGCAGTGCCTTCAACAGCAGTGCTTGCCCGGCCGAGGAAAATAACGTGCAGCCACCAGCAGTCAGGATGCTGCTGGTAAATCAGCACTACCAAGGGGAAATGTATGGACTCCTGGGATAAATGACTTGATCAAGACAAACTTGGATATATTTTTATTCTTCACTTTGGAGAGAAAGCAACTATGTTCTCTTTGTTCTGTATCTCAATCCATTTTCTGCTCTTCCTCTCTTTCAATATACCTTCCCAGTTTTCCCTGCCAAAATTTGCCTCTTTTCTTAATCTAAGTTAGAGAATGCAGGACAATGGTTTTCTCATAAAATACAGTAGTTTGTCAACAACAAACAGAACCAGAGCATTGTCACGCAGAGCTTTTTTCCTGCACTATGGGGCAAGCACGTCCACAGATCAATAGTTATTCCACTGCTTGCCAAAATAACACTAGTCAGATGAAAGTCTTTGCTCCCAAGTGACCTCTATAATACAGTCATAGACACCCTCCTGAAAAACTGCTGCCACACACGTTTGCTTCACCAGACAGAAAGACAGAGAGAGAACAATATTGGATACTCATAATTTGTGAAGACATGTAATTGAGGGTGTACACTGAAAATAATACTGTGTTACACTATGTTCAGTTCAGAGACCAAAATGTACAATATGGCTGCCAGATTATATGGTGAAAGGTTAGAATCATACAGAGGTGTAGTTACCCGACAAGGCTGAATTCACTCATTCACCCCAAGTTCCAGTTCTGCTCATCCTAGTAGGATTTTTCTGAAGAGGAGGACACTGTTTCCTCTACAGGGTTTTGGATTGTCGTTCTGCAGGTATAGTCCAGTCCAGAAAATGTGGGGAAAGCACATCTCTGGAATGTAGGTCTCACCCTATAGTTACATGACTATAAGCTACCTTATGTCTCTTTTTACACGCTACAGGCTTCCTCCTACTTTGCTAATGGCTTTGTCTTAGGTGAGGCTAACATTGGTATTACAGTATTTACTTCAGGCAGGGGTAAATACACACATAATGCTGCATTATTTCAGGTAAAATAATTTCCTTTTGGCATTTTATCATAGCTGGGTGTCCAAAAAACCGCCTCAAAACCATCACCCCACCCTCCCCCAAAAAACCTCCAACAACCAAACAACAAAAAACCAAACAAATTTAAACCATTTGCTTCCAGATCTGCCTTTACAGGACACATCCTTCCAAGTGTAATCTCCCCTGGTTTTGTGACATTATCATCAGCCTGGATTTTCAAAAGACAGGTGCCTGCGATAGACAGGTAAACCTCTCTAGGAACCAAATGGACATAACGGGAACTAGGTGCTTTTAAAAAATCCCTTGAAGTGCCCACCCATGTCTTTCAGTATCTAAACACTTGTTCAAATTCGGTTCATGATCCCTAAATTCATTTGAGGAGATGCCTGTGCGGTCATTCTCACCCTTGCATGTGTTCTTTTCTGAAGTCGGTGGGGCAGGAAGCCACTTCTGTGCATCTCCCAGCATCCCTGGCCTTTGCATGTCACTAAGGGGTTTCCAGTTGACCATGGTTCTCTTCAGCCACTGGGTGGTCTCCTACCATCACGAAGTGCTTGCTGTCAGGTTTTCTTACCATCTGGTCTCTGACTAATCAGCTCTAACCTAATTTCTGATCAAGAGAATGGCTGGTTTTGTTTTAATAAGATCAAGGATTCAACAGGGGCCTGCCTTCCCCTTACTTCCACTTTTAAAGAGAACTTCCATCAGAAAGGAACATTAAGGAAATAGTGAGAAAAGTGCTTACCATCTCCTTCAATCACACGGTTGCAATGGAAACAAACATCACCAAACAGCTGAAGAGCAAAGAGAAGTAATGAATGTTTAATGATTTTATCAAGGGTGAATTATCAAACTAACAAAATAACTATATTTCAGCTGATGGGCACAATAGCTTTCCTGTTTATTTCAGTAAAATAAAGAGAATGCTGGCAAGTCTGATTTGGTTTTCCAAATATGTTTTGCATCATCTCATCACAAAAACTTTATAATATTAAAGATGAAAACATTTGTTTATATCTGTTTGATCACGTGTAAATATGATTTTGCTTTGTATTAATATCTCTCTAATCCTGAACATTAGAAACACAGCAGTTGGTGTCACACAGGCATTGTTACTAATCAGCCAACTTAACATTCGGACTTAAAAGCATGACTAGAACAACATATTGCTGTTTCTGGAAAAAAACGTAAGGAAAAGTTATTTTTATTTTTTAAAAAAATGCAAAAAAATATTCATTCTATTTCCAGTCTTAACATTTGTCCACAATACAACAATTAAGAAACGCCCAAAATTTCATGCATTTTCTTCTGACTGTAGTAGTTAACCTAGTAAAAGCCACCTGCTCTACATACAGCTCCTGTTTGGTATATGTACTTGCCCCATCACGGCTGCAACACTATTACTACTAATGTCATGGCATTTGTTGTCTACAAATATGCCAGCAACACTTCCATCATCTGCCCTTCATCACTGACAAATTAAGAATCCATCTGTAATTAGCAGATGCCTTACAACTCCCAGGTGTAACCCCTACTCTTGTATTTATATAACTGAAGAGGTGGACGTGACACAACGCGGATGGCTTCCAAATACAAAAGATCTATACGTCGAGGTGCTGGACCACCCAATCAAGGGAGCCTGGAGAGAGATGGGACCACGGTACCTAACTGCTATACAAATGCAAGTGGTCACTAGGTGGTGTCCTCTGACAAATCTTGTCTTCGCGGCCTTCAGCAACCGGATGAACGAGCTGGGTGATGCAGTCTGTGTTAACACACAGACATCCTGGAGCAGCAGCTGCGGGGAGAACCACACTACTCACTAGGGCCACGTCTTAAAAGTCTTAAACTGCAGCTACTGAGTGGCAGATCTTCTGTAGCTTCTTGGGAAAGACTGCGTGTCATCAGCTGCTCTGATCTCACAGACATGTAAAAGCTCCTAACAGCTCTACTTAAGTACCGCTAAGCTTGAAGAACAACTCCATACCGATTGTCCTGGCTAGCCTTTGCCAAGTACCTGCAGCTTTCTTTCTCAATACCAGACCAACGTATAGAGAAAACCGTATAAATTCACAGCAACAGAACATCTGCTAACTGGCATTAGACCCGCAGGTGCCCAGAAGAAAACAGAAGAATGTCCATGGTTTTCCATCTCTTGTCTAATAAAGCCAATTCATGAGTTTACCAATTAACACCATTGTTAAAAATATGCACCCTCACCTGATTGTAGTGGGTTTCACAATACGCCAAGCCTTTTCTCTCGTAATGGCGATGACCCAGGAATGGCTTTTCACATTTTGCACAAACAAAATGCTACAAAGAAAAGTACATACATTTTTTGGTATTATTTGGCAGTAATGCTACTTTTTCTGGAAAGCAAACCAGCCAAGCCCAGTACTGAACGTGACTGAAGTCTACTGAGCCAGCTGTGCCACCTTGAAAAGGAGTTAAAACTTTTTTGTTTTGTGTAATGTTCCTTTTAATGTCTTTAACATTTCAATCCAAAAGTTACAAAAAAAAAAAATCAAGCAAAGGGATTCTCATATGTTATCAATGAACAGAATGAAGATAGTAAATAATCTGAACCATCATTACACTCTTGTGAAGAAAGTGTTTGCTGGAGGAGATTTTCAAAACAACAAAAGGAATAAACTGTTTATCTTTCTGATTTAAATGGAAGATGTGGAACTAAATCTTGTACATGGTCTTGAACTACAAATACTCTCATACAGTGCTTTAGAGATATTTATGTGGCAAGTGACTATAGAAGACATAATGGTATTATGATGCTCAGTAACATGGTTGCCACAGAATTTTACTGCCTTTCCACATGTACTGCTTTGCACTCTGAAATTTGCTTTTGCAGGACCTCACAGTACTTCCTTTGATTACTGATTTTAGTTTCACAGTCGAAGCTCTTTATAAGGTAGGAAAAAACTCCTATTTCACAATGGAAGACCAGCCACAAGAAGGTTGAAGACGGGATTAGGAGAAGCTATTTAATAATCATTGCTGCATGCTTTGCTAATCCTTTCATCAAAACTGATCAGCAAAATCACAGATAAATATGTTAATGTTTACATTTGTAAAAGAAAATATATGTCATCTGATGTTTACCTCCACATGCCATTGTTTGCCCATAGCATTCACCACACGGCCTTCAATTGGTCTTCTACATGCCCCGCAGATGGGGACGCCCATTTTGTCGTGGCAGGGTAAGCAGTATAATTCTCCCTTCAACTCACGAGCATCAGCTGTAAGTTCCTTCCTGTTCAAAAGTTAATGAATTGAGAGCATGAATAAAGGCACTGAACAATGTCAACTCTCGAGAGCTTCTGAAGAGAAAAAAAAAATTAAAAAATTAGCATTTGTTTTAGAAAATGTATTTGTACTACAGTAATGCAGCAGCATCAAATATGATACAGTTCAAGACTGACCACAGTAAACTGAGAACAGGCTGCTAAGCGAGATGCACTACGTCTCTCTGAATAAAGCTACTGAGCTGTTGTCATTCTGCATTGTGCTTGTGTAGCACAAACGTGCGTGTGCAAGCTGTAGTCATGTTTGGTTTATATTCCGGCTCTCTTATCACCGGTTTATTTTAGATTTGCATAATTGTAACTGAAAGTAAAATGTAGTCCTTTACATCTAGGTACATTTTCCTTGTTGTATCAAGCTTCAGAGAAAGAAAACTACAGACCGGCATGAGGTAGCTACGTTTATTCATGGCCAACTGCAGGATCTCGTATACGCTACTTTTCAGTAATTTGCATGGTTAGAATACTGAGAACAGCTAAACTTTAAACATGATCGTACTCACTAATGCTCTCAAGTGGTTGCCACCGACACAGCGCTACATGTTGTTACTCAAATCAGCCTCTGCTACGGCACTGAGCTGGTACCTGCCTTTGCACCAGAAACAGACAACTAATAATCCATGCGATACCCTACAATGCTCTGAGGTCTGTGCGTCAGTGCCAGATGTAGAAACGTACAGCTTCATGTACTGCGGTTGCAGAAGCTGATAAAATGAGGTGGGAGAAAGCTTGTAAGAGAAAGGTAGGCTTTAAAAGGAGAGAACAAAGTTTCCCACTCAACTAAAAAGAAGTAACATAGGCAAAATAGTAACTCAAGCAGCCAAAGAGGACCACTTTTCTTCCTCTCATTGCAGAATAACAAGCTATCACTTTGCTGCTACAGAAACTGCTATCTGTGTCCAGACAAAATTTTGTAAGGTACCACTTTGTCCTGCAGAGTCCAATCTTTCTTTACTCCCCGACAGGTCAGCTGTTGTTTGAACTCAAGGCGCAACTTCACCATCCCAAAAGCAGTAACACACATCTGGATGCCAGGCACCCAAACCCCACCCCTCCTGCCAGTTGTACAGGACAGGTTTTCACTTTAAGATGTAAATTGATGAGGCAAATAAACCCAGCATTTTCCTCTTTTCTTTTGCAGAACTCAAGTTACCCGCAGTTTGCACAGTTGAAATGATCAGGGTGATAAGGATCATTTTTGAATATGAGAGGCTGTTCGTCAATAATGGCATGACACTTCTGGCAAATGTACTTTCCCAGGCCTCTGGCTTTTTCCCTGTTATGGCAAGGACGGCAGAGATGTCTGAAAGAGCATTAAAAAGAGAGATAAGTACTGGTACCAGGTATCACAGTGCAAAACATAAACTAAAAATCTATCAGAACCTCATTTCAATCAGCCCTTTTTGGAGGGAAAATAGCCTTTAAACCAATTTCCTTCCTAGGGAAACTGAGTTCAGAAGAGGCAGGCTGGTCATTTTATTTTCTGTCAGCACAGGAGTATCATTTCTTCATCTCATTTGAGTTTAAGCTGTGTTGAAACACAGAAAACAAAGTTTCCTATAGATTCTCATTGCTGAATGATTTACTCTCAAAATCTTAAAAATTTGATTGGAAGCTGGATGAGCACACAGGTCCTAATTCTGTAGATAACTCTGTATACA